GCTTATTATAAGGTGACATGGTGCTTATTATATGGTGACATGGTGCTTATTATAAGGTGACATAGTGTTGATTATAAGGTGACATGGTGCTTATTATATGGTGACATGGTGTTTATTATAAGGTGACATAGTGTTGAGTATAAGGTGACATGGTGCTTATTATAAGGTGACATGGTGCTTATTATATGGTGACATGGCGCTTATTATAAGATGACATAGTGTTGAGTATAAGGTGACATGGTGCTTATTATAAGGTGACATGGTGCTTATTATATGGTGACATGGTGCTTATTATAAGGTGACATTGTGCTTATTATAAGGTGCCATGGTGCTTATAAGGTGACATGGTGCTTATTATAAGGTGACATATGGTGCTTATTATAAGGTGACATGGTGCTTATTATAAGGTGACATGGTGCTTATCATAAGGTGACATGGTGCTTATTATAAGGTGACATGGTGCTTATTATAAGGTGACATTGTGCTTATTATAAGGTGACATTGTGCTTATTATAAGGTGACATGGTGCTTATCATAAGGTGACATGGTGCTTATTATAAGGTGACATGGTGCTAATTTTAAGATGATATTGTGCTTATTATACGGTGACATGTGCTTATTATCAGGTGACATGGTGCTTATTATCAGGTGACATGGTGCTTATTATAAGATGAAATATTGCTTATTATATGGTGACATGGTATTAATTATAAGGTGAAATGTTGTTTATTATCAGGTGACGTGTTGTTAATTATAAGGTGACATAATGTTTATTATAAGGTGACATGGTGTTTACTATAAGTTTTATACATGTAGATCTAATATGAAATAGTGCATATTGTAAAAAGGTTGTCTGGTTTGTGCAACATACTGTCTACCAGATATAAAGTCGAATGTGTAAGTAAACCTAAAATTAAATCATCGTTGCTTTTTATGCCCTATTTATTATGATATTTATGAATTTATTATACAACACTTATTGAGTTTAAAATTCACATAGAAAGCTATCAGTTTCACATGGAAGTTAAAAACGTTTTCGGGAGTTTTCATATAGACATATATATAGGCAAAATTAAAACTGTTTAAACTTGGCATGTTGTTAAAATATGATAACAGAAACGTTTAATGAGAAAAAGAATCGGAGTCACCGTTCTCGTTTTTGAGTTATCTGCCCTTGAATTGGACTTTTTTGTAAAATTCAAGGGCAGATAATTTACAAAGAAGGGAAACAATACAATTTTGTTTTCTTATTTTCATGAAGCTTACCTTCGTTTAAGTTTACATGCAAAATTTCAAGAACAAATTTAGAGTGGGTAGTTTTTATTCCCACTTCTTCTTAAAACCTATGCATTTTTTCTTAAAAAATGGCATATTTTTTAAGAATTTAAAGTACCTTAAAATATTTTCATTGAAAGAAATTAACAGAAACGATGTAAGGAATGTTATCATGTATTGTACTCAACAATAAAAAGAAAAACATAATCCAGAAGTAAAAACAAGAATTTATGTAAGTATGTATTCGTTATCTGCCCTTGAAATTACCTCAAATAATTAGAAAAGTCTGAATCAGGGGCAGATAACTCAAAAACGAGAACGGTCACCGTGACCCCATTAATGTTATCATATTCTAACACAAGTTTGAACAGTTTTATTTGCCTAAATTTATGGAGGGCGTTCGTTGCCAAAATTCCAGACATGTAAAGTGTTCCTTTTTAAAATGACTTTTGAAAATGCGAACTTGTATGCCTACCATTTTTATTGTAAACCTCTTAATTCAATCTTTTATTTTAAGGTTACCGCCTTTATATAACAAGTTTACATATATATCGTAACAACTGACCTAACATCTAAAACGACAACAAATTTACAAGTTCGTATCTTCCATTGCATGCAATACATATGCATGTTTGCACACTTATAGATCTGAAATATACAAATAAAACGTAAAACTCGAATACGGAAAATAGAGTTTAAGAAAACGTGTTACCAGTTGTAGAACTACAAGAGTACGTTTACACAGTAACATGTTTAAAATGACAAAAGTAGATTCACAAAGTTAAACGATTTTAAGTCGTGCATGACGCCCCGCCCCTCTCGGAGTATTTACGAACTTCTATTGCGGACAGGTATAAACGGCGCCTCTCCCATATTTTTAAATAAAACTGAAGGACAACATACAGCATTTTTCATAAAATATATATGTTACATTTGTTACAAAAGTTTTGTCAGTAGCAACATCACTTGAAAATTGCTGATTTTACCATTTATGATGAAGATAACTTATGCATTACCTTATTTTTAACATCGTGTTCTTATCAATTACAAATTATTTATCATTTTAGTGATTAGCCTGTCCGTGCTCTGCCTAGTGCCCTGTCCTGTGTTTTGTTTTGGGTCCGCCTTGGCTTCTTGCCACTTGTTCTTGTTGCTGGGTCATGTGGGGTTGCGTTCATTGAGCGCCGCCTTTCCTTGTTGATCTTGCTTATCATATATTCCTGAGAAACATCGACGATTGGGAAATTTTTAGGGGAAACAATGACCAACTTCAAGGGAGTAATTTTATTAATAATGTAAAAAACCACCCAATATTCTTATTGGTATCATTGAAAAATGTATTGGCATAAATTTCATTTTCAACAAAAACTATGCAAGTATATTTTAAAGCGGCCACCGAGATTTCCTTTCCGAAATCAAGAAAATACTTATCCGTAGCACATATGTACAATCTTTAATAAGGTATTTTCAGTAGTATGAATAAAAACTTTTTGCATTTATTCATTATCCCTCATGTACAGACTCAATCAAACCGAGTCTGCAATTCTTATGTAATTTTGTAGTGATTAATGCTTCCGAGGGATACTTTGTTTCCAGATTTTTATACTTCACAACATCAGGTTTCAAGTGCCGTGAGGCAGCTGTAAAAAGTTGCCCCGTACTTCACTTCAGTGTTGTTATATTTTTCTGGTCTTTCGGGATCATTGATGCCAGCGCTATTAAGTGTTGAGAATTGAGTACCGTTCAAGCCGGTGCTAGGGGGCGTGAGGCATGTTGCACTTGTTCATTATCCCTCATGTGCAGACTCAATCAAACCGAATCTGCAATTCTTATGTAATTTTGTTGTGATTAATGCTTCCGAGGGATCACCTTGTTTCCAGATTTTTAATATACTTGTTGAAAACTTATGGTCTTAACTTCATTCAATATTTATTTTCCTTTTTGAATAAAGTATCTAAAGGAAGCGACGTTATTTTTTTCCGAATATATGAGTGTGGATTTAAGAGAAAAAAAAACAACGATAAGTTAGAAACAAAATTTTTAATACTTCTACGTAATTAATTTTCATTTTTAAGGCATCACTAGAAAGTTCATTAAGGATTCTTAAGCACTATTAAGTGTTGAGAATTGAGTACCGCTCAATCCGGTGCTAGGGAGCGTGAGGGATGTTGCACTTATTCATTATCTCTCATGTACAGACTCAATCAAACCGAGTCTGCAATTCTTATGTAATTTTGTTGTGATTAATGCTTCCGAGGGATCACTTTGTTTCCAGAATTTTTTACTTGAGTCTAAAATTATCAACGCCGCCTTTCCTTGATGATCTTGTTTATCTTATTCTAAAATTATCAAAATTGACCAAGAAATAAAAAAAGTAAGTAGGGGGCGCCATGTTTCTCTTACTGAATTTCAGAGTGTGTGTTTTTTTTTTTTACTTGGGGATCATATGCCGTTTTTCATGGTATGGCACTTACGTGTCACATTGAAGGTTCCATGATAATCACCATGTTAACACATCGTCGGTTGTTTCAAAATTCAAAATTGTACCAGTTCATGTTGAATTTTGCTTAAGCCGGTGCTAGGGGGCGTGGACGATAACTTGCTCTTTCCATTACCGTCCATGAGCAGGCTCAATCAAACCGGCCTGCAACATTCTCAATTTTGTCGTTTTGAGCGTTCTTTAGGGATTCTTATTTTCTCTATTTTACAGAAAGTAACATGATAAACTTTTTAACGAAAAGTTAATTCATTTTGATTTAATTCCTTTTTATTTTGAGGCATTATATAATTATATATCATAAATCGTATTAATCACACTTTTATTTCAATCCAAAATTACCAAAATATATTACGAAATAAAAAAAAAGTTTGGAGGGAACGCCGTGTTTTTCTTACCAATTTTCGAGAGTGTTATTTTCAGACTAAAAAAACAAACAAAAAAATCAATACATCTATTTAATTCATTTTTATTTCCGAGGCACTCATAGAAAGCTTATGGAGTAATCTTTCATTTGATACAAATTATATTGGACTTTTTATAGAAATAAAAAAAAGTTAGAATGGGCGCCGTGTTTTCCTTCACTTTATTGAGAAATAGGAGAGAGGCGACGGGTATTATACCTGTCCGTACATTTCGTGATAGAAGATCGTAAGTACTCAGAGAGGGGCGGGGCGTCATGCACGACTTAAAATCGGTTAACTTTGTGAATCTACTTTTGTCATTTTAAACATGTAACTGTGTAAATGTACTGTTGTAGTTCTACGACTGGAAACACGTTTTATTAAATTATATTTTCTGCATTCGAGTTTTACATTTCATTTGTGTTTTTCAGGTACATATATATATCTACAAGTGTGTAAACATGCTTATGTATTATATGCAATGGTAGATACGAACTTGTAAATGTGTGTTAGGTCAGTTGTTAAGATTTACATGTAAACTTGTTATTTAAAAGCGGGTGCCTTCAATTAAAAGATTGGATTAAGAGGCATATCATTTGCTGTGCACGAATGCAATCAAAAATGCTAGACATACATGTTCGCATTTTCAAAAGTAGTTTTCAAAAGGAACACATTACATGTCTGGAATTTTGGCAACGATCGCCCTCCATATAAATTGTATATGTTTATATGAAAACTCCCGAAAACGTCCTTAATTAAAACACAATAAACCAGTCTTTATTAACACACTACAAACTGTAATTGTCCGTTCAACCAGTATAAATTTATACAATGTTGATAAATTACACCGTTCAGCTTACTTCAACAACAAAAAAGGTTTAGAAAAGAAGATATTTGATTCCAGCGACTGTGTTAAATATAGCGAGAGGTAGCATAGTGCAGTACAGTGTGTGTAAGTCCGATAGCTAAACATGTTATGCGAGATACATGTTGATTAAACTGTGTAGCATATCAACAATAATTGAGTGTTTCGGATGTAAAAATGCAGGGATAATTGTATGAATGGTAAATATGTGCTTTAATTCAGGAAGTTTATTTTTTAGCTAAAAATAGCGTGTGTAATTTCAGTTTATATTGATTTCAATACAGTAGATCTAATATTTACTTCGTTTGTATCGATATTTAATACAAAATGTACATCCATAATTTATACTCAATAACGAATTTAAGATGATACCCAATATGTGTATTGAAGCACCTCGAATTCGTGAGGTGAGTACACTAGATTTTTCTATATATTTCTTCATTTTATTTGATTTAAGAGAAAAGTAGTCCACTGTTTGCGGAGTATAGTACATATATACTGTACAGGTTTACTGACCACCGAAAAAATGATTATGATAAATTGATATATTGTAAAAATGCAAAACAAACAAGGCTGTTTTAAACGTCAATTCGTATTAATGTTACACACGTTTGAACAGATAATTTAAGTACTATCAGTGGCAAGACCTGTTTCGAATCATTCAATGTTGTTTTTTTTTTCTCTCTAGAAAACCGGCAATGCATTGATAAGAAAATGAGCAGCCAAGGTTAGAAATGATCACAAGTACCTAAAGATTGCTATAAATATTATCAGATTAACCAATTGTTACATTAGTAACGACGGCTGACTTGTACCAGTTAATGTATTGCAAACCTTATCACGTAACGTAATGACTAACATTTCCTACATTAATCTATAAAGTCCTTTGTGTGAAAAATCCTAATCATCAGGCTGTTTGAGATGAGTAAACTTCTGTGAAGTAATCGATTTAACTGTTTAAAGCTACACGCCTCCACATACTCGAAATTTATAATAAAAGAAATCTTATGTTAGGTAGTACTATTAGTAATAAAAATTTGTCAGACCATTGAATGTATATTATTGTACTTGAATATCGAATGAGTAATTAGAGTTTTTGTTTGTTTTTTTTTAATACTGTTTTATTTATTTACTTCTTATTTTAACATTACTATGCCTTTGTTATTTGTTTTTCCAATATTACGAATTAAGCCTTAGTTACTTTATTGTCTTCATTTCTACCATACCATACACAATTTGTTGGTTGGTATATTTTGTTTCATGCCTTGTGTTTTATGCTTGTGATTATATATGTCATATAGTATGACCCTTGATTGGTGAAATAAAATTATTCTATTCTATTCTATTCTATTCTATATAAACATTAAAAAAATGAAACTTTAATATCATAAATACAAGTGCATCGATATGCTAAACCGTATGTTGGGTATATTACATGCAACAATGAACTGAATTTATTATTTTAAACACCATAATTCTATCTTATTCTATAACGTAAGGGTTATACATGCATTCTGACATATATGTGTACATGTATTTCGATGACCTTTATAAGTTATTTGATTTTTTCACTGTCATTTTAGTATTTTGATCAGTCTTAATTTTCGTAAAAAATAAATGGAGATGGATGCGTGTTGCTTTAAGAGATATCTAAATTAAACAGGTAAACGTGATGATGGGAACAATTGATTTTAACTGACTTAAGTTTAACACGCTAAAATCGATTTAAGTACGATCAATATCACACGTAACTTACCGATGAAGATAAAGCATATCTTTTACTAATCAGCTATGAATTTCTTTTCAGTCAATAATGGAAGAGAAATTTGTGATATATGGAGCCAAACATCGAAGTGGTGAACGATTATTGCAGACGTAACGTGTGAGCGTTTATAGTGTGACGTTATGGGCAGACAATTTATCTTACAGTAGTAGTCAATGAATTAAGGGATGATCAAAACTCACAATGGGAATAAAAAGACGGATACCATATTCTAAGTTACTGTTTTGTTTTGTAGCATTTTCAGTATCAGTATTGTACATTCAAACAATTGTCGACAAAAAATCTAATGATTTATGCAATGAAAAGCATACGATGCATATCAAGGAACCCCCTGCTGTTATATATTATGCAGTAAACTGTTCAAACAAATTGCCAATAACGGAGCCGCATGATTCGAATGAAACTGACCATGAAGTGAAACTAGCTGAAGATCTACATTCACATAAAAAGATGCAGAAAACGTCGAAAACTATACAAACGACAAAACATAGACCTAAAGTTTACACGTTTGCAGAATTTAAACAAAAAGCTCAAACCGACAATTTCTTTTTATCAAAAATTCTTACGCAGTCTTATTTGCATTCTAAGTCATACCATGTGTTAAGACGATATTTCACAGGAAAGTCATATAGCTTTAAATCTGAGTTTAAAAATGTATCAATACAGCATAATTATGACATCAATACTGACGTCATGGTATTTTTGCATATTCAGAAAACTGGAGGTATGCATTTCAATGATAGGTTAATACGAGAATTATCGTATCCTTTTAAGTGTAAGTGTGTATTTAAACAGCCAACTTGCCCTTGTTTTAACCCAAAGGGTAATATATGGATATATACATCTAAATTATCCGGCTGGCCTTGCGGTCTGCACGCTGACTGGACCCAACTTCACAGATGTATTCCTAATCAAATAGATCAGATGGAGCAAAAAAGGCGATATAGAAGGCAAGTAAAACTGAGTTGATTCTGTTTCAATCTACCATATGTATAATGTTATAATGATTTGACAGCTAATGAGATCATATTCTGACATCCTTATGACTGACTACTTTCATTTACACATTATTGTGTTTTATGTCATCCAGGCTATCGACTAACAAGCTTTACAAACGGGTAAAACCTATTGCATCGAGTAAATTCATCAACATTCGATAGATAAGCCGAGTAGCTTTTGCATGTAAAAATCACTTATATAACGTTATTTGTCCGCTCATTGGCCCCACACCTCTGACTATTTTTTAATCTCAGAATTGAGAATGTGAATATAGATGTTTAATATTCAGCTACCTTGCGGGAAAAACCCGTCCTATAAAGATGCCTATTATTCGCTAAAATAATAGAAGAGAGGACCAAACGATATTGATATGACTTTGGCTTTGGGCTCCATAATGTCCATTGTGTCAATGTGACCTGAAGGAGCGTCCGTTGTCGGGTGATTAAGGTTGTTGACTTCAGACCAATTGCATGCCCGTCACCGCTGTTTGTTCGAATCCTGACAGGGACTTTGGATTATTTCATGTAAGAAAGCTATCCATCTAGCTTACGGAACGTCGGTGGTTCTACTCGGGTGCCCGTTTGTGCCTGAAAAAAATGCACAGAAGGCACGTCGTTTTGAGGTCCTGGTCGCCATATATTCTTTACTGTGTTGATGCGACGTAAAACCCAACCAAAAACATATATATATCATTTAGAAACATTTATAATCAAATATAGCGTAATGACATGAGCGAAATACGAATGGCGCGTTAGATTTTTACTTGTAAAAAGAAAATCATGCATGTTATGCATCTCTAGCCTTAACACACGCGTAGATAAGTTATTTCTCATTGAAGCATTATTGAGGGTTTTCATTATTTTAACATTTCATTTTATTCGTAGACAAAGTTGTTGCACACCAAATTTAGAGAATTACAAAAGCTATAGATTACAAGTATAATTATGATGTCAGTATAGGATGTACATTATTTCCATAACAGAAAAACTGTATGAAGAATACAAATCGAATATATGTATCGACATATATTCACTGTTTGATTGTATTTGTATCATTTGTATGAATCATTGTATTTTCAGATATTTCTACTTTACTCAACTTCGAGACCCTATTGCTCGATATATGAGTGAGTACTATCATCAAAGCTTTTATGGAGGTCACTGGCAAGACGCTCTATTAGGGTGTAGTAACGGTATGGCTGAATGGTTGGACGTCAGGCCTTGCTTTCTCTCAGAAACATGGCAAGGTGTAGGTATAGATGAGTTTATAGACTGCAAGTATAATTTAGCCACGAATAGAATGACCCGGATGTTGGCAGACCTTACAGTAGCCGACTGCTATGTTGACTATATTAACAGAAATGTAATGCGCAAAAGAGCTTATCTGTGGTTAGAATCGGCGAAACATAACTTACAACAAATGGAATACTTTGGAATAATGGAAAACAGGGAATGGTCTGATGCATTGTTTTCATCGGTATTTCAGATGGGATTTAAGAAAATACGCAAAAGTGACGTACGAAGCAAAAGCGCCGAAATCCGTTTGACAGAAGATCAGTTTTTAAAATTATTAAAATTAGTAGAACTTGATATCCATTTATATTTGTTTGCAACAGATTTATTTCAAAATCGAATACGAAATTTGCACATCTAGTTCTTGCATAAACTTATAACATAGTATTTAAAAATTGTAGTTCAGTTACAATATTTCAATATTGAATATATGTATTGCGATGAGTTTATATGAATTCGAATGTCTTTATTCTTAAATCTTCATTTTGTTTCGTTCATGAAAAACACTATCAATTTCCTAAGATGAATACATATTTAATGAGTTGTTGTTTTTTTTTACTTCATTTTAACGTGGTATCTAGTGAAGATATGTAGCATTGTAACACAGGTTTTTGGCCTATATTGATATTCATTTTTCATTTGAGCCTTGTCACGACAAAACCAACACAATGGGTTTGCGACAAGCATGGATCCAGACCAGCCTGCGCATCCGCGCAGTCTGATCAGGATCCATGCTGTTCGCTTATCAACCCTATTACACGTAGTGAAACTGAAAATGCTGGTCGCAAACCCACTATGTTGGTTTTGTCGTGACGCGGCTCATTTATTGAAAAATTGCCTTTGAAAGTTTCATACAAATCTAAACAAACATGACTATTGAGTCTTGACAGAAGTTTTGAAATGTCTTCCACAAACAGCATTTGATGATAAGAATAGATTTTCCAAGTAATGTTTTGTTGTAAATGAACACATTCATTTGGAAATTACGCTACAGTCAATCAATAATTTAAAATTTAACAAGAAACATGGAAATGCAACGAACCCAGGCTTTCAATTTTCACCATTGTAAGTTTTGTTGACGTTGGAATACAAATACAAGCAATGTACAATGAAGTAAATTGACGTTGTAATTAGAAAAAAATATAACAACTAACACTGTTTTATGTGTGAACGTGGCAAATATTTGAATAAAATCTGAAATCGTACTGCTAGAACATGTATACGCGTTATCTTGTGCAAATAGCAATAAATTATTTATATAGCTTGTATTACTATATCAATATCTGTGTCCTTGCACATCTGTGATTCATTATATATGATTGTAAGGACTTTCTGCAAACACAGACTTTCTGGTATATGAAAATAAGATCTGATAAACGTACCGTATAATATATACAAAATAGTTCTTATTTGGCATGTACCGTTTTATTGATTAACTTTAAGCGTTTAAAAGGCTATACATTTTGGATCTAGTCCAATAATTATTTAACTATCTTGTCACAGACCGGGATATAATTAAAGTAAACAAGATAATTGCCAGACCTTACAGACAGTCATTACAGTCTGTTTTTTATCATTCATCTGAAATCATGCCTTTCACATGAACGCTAAACATACATATCATGCATCGCTTATTAGCTTAAGTTGCTTGCTTAATGGGAAAAATATGATAATAAGGTGGAATTAAACAATATATAACAGCAACGTAAAATATGTTATAGTATACTGTCAAGTTAAAGTTTGATGAAGTCCTTCCAAATCGTAAACCAAGGTGGAAATTTGACACATTTTATATATTTATTTCAGGCATTGATATTTTGATAAAAATGCTATTTTCCTGTGTATCTAATGTGCAAAAAAGAACAGATAATTAATTATAGGTTAGTGTTTAATAATACGTATTAACAAAAATAAATTTATCAAGCTTGCCGCAGGCACGCGACAAATTATTTTTAATGCGTATTATTAAACATTAACCTTTTTAATGATCAACATTATTTTTCAACCAAAAACAAAGCATTTCTCTGGTTAGACGACTGATTATTTGATTGCTGAGATGGTCTGAGTTGTTGGAGGTATACATTCGTCCGGATTACCTGATACATCATGAAATCGGCGAGATGTTATTCTTGCAGGTAACCGTAACACATTTGATCCGTAATTATAACATACACACGCCGAACATAATTACGATACATCTCTTTGTAATTATGTATTTATGATTAATAGGCCTGATGGTCGATCCATTCCTAAAACTCAGACTTTTCTGTTATCAGATCAATATCGAATTGCATGATTTTCATAAAGTATAATCAATTGCACCCAATAAAGAATGATTCGGTGCCACTTGTTCGGTGAACAAAATCCTCAAGATTTTGAAAAAAAAAATGTTATGTTTGTCAAAGTTTGAAGTCATCATATTTCATGAACAGACTCGATCAAACTTTGTCTGCTATATTCTCTGAACTACATGTACAGTACCACATAAAATTTGATAATGGTATAAGTTACTATTTCCACATAAAACATTGACGTCATGCACGGATCAAGACGGGGGTGTCGGGACATGGCTCCTCTACTGTTTTTGCGTTGTATGTAGAATTACTCTGGAGTTTGGATATCAACTTTGTTTTCCAGTTTGTTTTTTTTAGATAATTTAGAGACTAGTGAAAATAACCTAAATCTAGTCTTTTGCCCCTCTTGAAAATTAGTAAATGTCAACCTCCTTTTGAATATGCAAACCCGTTGTTGAAATTGTGCAACTCACTTTAGTATCCGCGCCTGTACATGTTTCTTATGTTCATCAAAAGTCAAAATGTAAGAGGATTTAAGACAAGAAAGAAAACCCAAGCACGCTTATCGATCTACATGTATTTAAAATAACCAGATCATAGTTTAAGATAATATATCATTCACTGTGTAAACAAAAACTGTTAATGACATTTCTATACTTCCTGTTCACTTCTCAAGGATATAAGGAAGGGAAATAACTAATTAGTGTAGATATAAACGTTTAATCTGATTGACTTTACAACGCTTTTGAATTTAGAACAATCCATTCAATATTTAAGTGGTTTCAATTTCCAAATACGAAAGTTACAAATATTATTGAAATTTATGATATCACTTCCAAATTTTAAGAAAGACAATATTTCAAATGTTACTGTACTTAATTAAAGCTACTATCCAACATATTGTAGAATAGGCGTTTTTGAAATAAAATATCGTCAAAAGTTAACACTTCACCTCAAACTCGTGCATTTATATGGAACCAGATGGGAAAAAAACCCATTAAAGTACAGTTTTTGCTATTTTTATGATACTGTAATTTTAAGCCGTTATACGTTACATTTTATTTTGAATTATTTTATATTGACTTAAATTATACACACACACCCGTTAGCTGGTTGCAAGTATATCCGTTGGTTGCGAGTAGAACAGTTGTGCGCTTGGTATGTTTTAATTCTGCAATCGATTGCTGCCCAATATATAATAGAAAATTATGTCTATAAAAAGAGACAATTCGATTTGAAACTTACATTTACATAGTAAGATCTAGCTGCATCAAGCTGTCCTACTCACAACATTTTCACGGGTATGATATATATCTCTTGTCACGTATTGCTATGTTTATATTTGTGTATGTATATATATTGATGCTTTGTCAATTGCTCTTTTTAGGGCTTTAGTGCAAATAAAAAGTTCTTCTTCTTCTTCTATATCAGTGTCAAGTGAATCATAACAGCTATCTCGTGAAAACTACAATTTTTACTTCTATGAATATTTAATGACTGTAAACAAATATGTTAATGTTTTTATACCGTTTTGTGGCGAGAGTAGCTTTAAACATTATCCAACAGGACAAACATATGTCGCGTTAATTAATATGATTATCTGTGCGTTTTTGTTTACTTTTTAATGTTATTAATCCCATGTAACTTTTGAAGCGGTGAGACAAATGCTCATTGAACTCAATATCGAAGATTGTCATGTGTAAATTTTGCCTCGCCAGAAGAACGAACAAGTGGCCCCTGGAATACTAACCCAATGCTTATACGAGCTGACAACGGATTTTAACAAATAAAATACACGAGCCGCGTCACAACAAAACCAACATAGTGCGTTTGCGACCAGCATGGATCCAGACCAGTCTGTGCATCCGCGCAGTCTGATCAGGCCTTACCAACTGTATTACAAGTAGAATCAAAGCACTGAATGTACTGATGGGGAGGCTATGAGAGAATGTTTCAGACTTATAGTGTCTTTTCTTTTTGCTTAAAATATGCTACCAAAATAAAAAGATATGCACATTGCGCTATTTATCCTTACTGTTGTGTTCAACCATTCATATATATGGTTAATGTGGTTGACTATTCATTTTGTTAATATTCCAGAACATTTCATTGAGGTCTACATTCGGACTGTTAATCATACAAATTTTGAAAAACCTAAACTGTCAATAATAAATGACATACCAGCAAGTATGACGACTGTTCATTATCAGATAACAATAACATTTTACAACTGACGGTTCCTTATCAAAATCACAGGAACTTGAAATTCTATCAAATAACCAATATTAATTATAATATCCAAATATACCCCCTATATACTATAAAAAAAACACAAACACAGGAACTTGAAATTCTATCAAATACCAATGTTAATTATAATATCCAAATATCCCCCTATATACTATAAAAAAAAATTATAGTATATAGGGGTATATTTGGATATTATAATTAATATTGATTATTTGATAGAATTTCAAGTTCCTGTGTCAAAATATTCTAGGACTGTTCATCATAAATACTTTATGTCATTTTAATATTATTGAATGATAATAACAACTGCAAGTGATGCAACATTTTTATTGAACATAAAAATTATACACGTTTAGATGTACCATAATTGAGATCAATAAGATACTGTCTTGTGATGATTATTAATATTCATGCTCTACGGACAGAAGGTTGTCTTCTCCAGAAGCAAATCTCGAATAAAATCACGTTTCAGAAAATTATTCCCATTTCATTACTGACGGCGTCAGATAATATTAAAGCTAAATATTTCTTGAAAAAATACATATCTGCAAAGCTTATTCAAAACTGAATCAACCTAAGTGAAAATTGATCAGGAAGTTATATCTTCTTTTTTTACCGCAAACACTCAACCAACTAATGGTAGTTAATCGATAGCTTGTGTATTTTTAAACCTCACTAGCTTGAAATATATATACTGCGGAAAATCTGTTGTTAACAGGGTGTGCGGTTATTACGTAGGGTTTTCCCTGTCGAACATTTCCTGCAAATAGATGAGAACACCGAAGCCGTCAGTGCTATGAATGATGTTATAAATGGCGTGTTTTGGAAGTTTTTTGTTGAAACTTCTCCAATTTCCTCCAGAGGCGTGCACGTCGCGGAGAAGGCACACGGAAGGACATAGTCAAGTCATCATAAGTACCAGAGGTGATTGGTTGACCTGTCGTGACTTACTCTGGAGGTTTGGCGCTAATAGATGCCGTTTTTGTTGTCGTCAGTCAGA